CACTAGCTACAGGCAAGTTTATTGTTTTACTCTACGTTGAGCGGACCCATATATCTGTCCTGAGAATGCTGGAAGATAATTTTTTTTTTTTTTTTTTACAAGTTTGTGGCTATATTCAACTATTCAGTTTTGTACGATCTTTAAAACTAATATGTGTCTAGCATAGGACGCTAAGGTTATAAGGTATCCCAGTAACATCATTAAAATGGGTTACCTACACTTACTGCCGGCACAGCCTTGGTATTCTCCTTATTAATAAGTGGTTGACACAAGTAACAGGTATCAATTTACATGCAGGCACAACTGCTTTCTTTCATTTTATCAACTAAGCGGTTTACGAACTCAAGAAATCTCCCCGTAGCACTTGGTGAAGTTTTAGCCTGTTCAGCAGTTTTAACTGTTAGGTTTGCTGAGCTAGTTCTTGGCATGTGTTGAGCAAAGTCGCGGACGTGATCTCTCTCGGGTCACGAGAGAATATGGTCATGAGCTTGTAGCTGTGTTTATCTGGAAATGCAAATAACGCTAATCGTTTTAACTAATCCCTTTCGAGCGTTATTTTTATTCTGTCGAATACAACTCATAAGAAATCGTCTTTTGGTTCGCAAAAACATCGTTTGATTTGTTGCTCCTGCTGATTTATCACGTTTGGGGGCTTGTTTTCAGAGAATCGCATCAGTTTGCAAGTCATTTGTCTGAATCGCAAGCTGTCTCGGATTTTGCACTGGAGAAGTCGATAAAGGAGCAACGCGAATATTTGCCAGTTTTTGCGGTGAGACAAAAAATGCTGAACGTAATCCGGGATAACAGTGTGGTAATCATTGTTGGCGAAACCGGTAGTGGCAAAACAACCCAGTTGGCGCAGTATTTGCTCGAAGAAGGCTATAGTGAGTTGGTTTGCTAGTTCAGTGTTTGTGCATGGTGTCAGTGCAGTCAATGATCAGAACTGCCGCGTGTTCGCTCTGTATCAGAAGATAAGGCAGTGGCAGTTGCTGTAATTTGGTTCGGCTTTTTACGAGGGCTCTTTCGAGGATTGGTTAGAAGCAGGCCAATTCTAATCCCGTATTAATTTGATCTAATTCTTTTTCCTCCTATGGCTGTCTTACAGTCTGCCAATCATCTAAATGTTCACAGTTTTCTTCCTGTTTCACTTATACTTGAATAATCAGAGTTTAGTTTTAATTTTTCGGTCTAGTAAAGCTGTTTAACCATTGAAGCGCTTGCACCTACTTCAGGTCATAATGGATTAATTGGTTGTACACAGCCTCGGCGTGTAGCAGCTATGTCAGTTGCGAAACGAGTATCTGAAGAGATGGGTGTCGAACTGGGCCAAGAATGTGGCTACGCTATCCGATTTGAAGATTGCACGTCGGAGAATACACGAATAAAGTACATGACCGATGGTATTCTTCTCAGAGAATGTCTGGGCGATCCAGACTTAGATCAGTATGCAGCGATTATTATGGATGAAGCACACGAGCGGTAAAATTGTTTATATTTGCTTTCTGATTAAGTTAACAACTAAAACTCTTCGTCTTCATCCACTTTTTATTTTGAGAAGTGTAGGTAGTCTCTTGGAAATAATACAGGTGGTGACATGTGCCACCAACAATCGTCTTTTTCTTCAGCGAGTTGCTCAGAAGTGACCTGCTGGTAATTCTAAATCCCTTTCGTGTACTAGTACGGATCATAAAGGGACTAATGCTAATTCTCGGCTTTAACACTTGAGCAGCCACACTTACAACTGCTCCTTATTTATCAGTTTTTAATTAATAAATTTTATTCACAAACACCTTAGTAGTACTTCCTCGTATCTGTTTTCTGGAAATAGTTGAGAGGGATCGACTTGCCTCTCGGTCAGTTAATAAATCATTTTGTCTCATGCATTATTATAATTTGTAGCCGTCTCGACCGGTTCTCCTAACTGATAAGGTAGCTAAAAATAGCTGTGTTCAAAGACAGATTCTACACGCTAAGGGCATCACGAGTCGGCTGAAGTCTTGCTAAGTGCTCTTATTTGAAGAAAGGGTGGGAGTTGGGACCATTATGCTGAAAACTCCTTCAGAAGACGATAGAAACGTCGGAATTGCCGGCGAAGACGATGTTGCCAGATGCACATGGCTGATAAGTTACAGCGGAAGCAAGCAACTCAGTGTAAGCCGAGTAGCAAGAATTCATTTTTGATTCGCGTAAATGGGAGGAGTGAAATGGGTTCCACTGTATTATGTATAGTGCGAGTTTTGTTTTGAGTTTACGAAGAATTTTTTCAGAATTTTTTCACTTTGTTGTTCAGGTCATTAAACACGGATGTGCTGTTTGGTCTGTTGCGAGACGTCGTTGCGCGCCGTGCTGATCTCAAGCTAATCGTCACTTCTGCTACTATGGACGCCGAGAAGTTCGCAAATTTCTTTGGTGGACACACTCCATGCTTTACTATTCCTGGTAAATGCATATTCCTGTACTTTGTTACCAATTACCAGCAGATATTGTTTAGGACGGGAAGGGAATAGAGGACAGGGGTAGAGACGAAACCTATAAGAAAGAAAAAGAAAAATTTTTTCCGCATTCACTGAGTTTGGGAGGGGGCGGGGCTGAGGAATGGGGGAGGGGACACCTGGAATTAGCTCTAGTAATAAAACAGGCTAACAGTAGCTGGAAAGTTGTTGGTGGCCTCTTTTACAGATGGCTTCTTGGAAGAATGGTGACGACTGATAATTCATATAATTTAAAAGGGAAACTGTTACGGAGGATTTTCCTGCAGTCATCTTAGTTGTTTGCTCTTTCTAGTACTGTTTTTGCAACAGTCTTTCTCGTAAACAAAATTTTTTGGTCGTTTGTACTACATATAAATCCGTTTTTTTTTTTTTTTTTTTTTTTTTTTTTTTTTG